CCTTGAGCTCGGGGAGCCTCAGCGGCTCCGAGTCCCCCAGCCTCGACCCCGGCCGCCGCCTGCCCATCTTCAGCCGCCTCTCCATCTCCGACGACTGAGGCAAGAGGGCGCCAGGGAGGAGGAGGAAGGGAAGGCCCTTCTGGGGTGTTGAAGGGCTCCCCTCGCCATCGCGCCCCTGCTAGGGGCCCGTGGGTGGGAGGTGGCCGACCACGAAGATAGACTGCTGGCCCGACCCGAGCACTTGGACTCGAACTCTGTGCTGGGAGGGGACCCTGACCCTCCCCATTCGGTTTTTCTCTTGTTTTATTTTTTTTTATTATTTTTATTATTATTATTATTAAAAAGTTTTCATTCTTGAGCAAAAAAAAAAAAAGCCAACGAACTTTTTGTATCGATGAACAAATATTCACAACAGCGCAGTTGTGATGCGAATAGAACAAAAAACCAAACACTTAACTTTTAGGTCTCCGATGAGTCTGGGACTTCAGGAAAAATCAAGCCAGCACCAGCAGCTACCAACCACCATTCCTTGTCTTGACTTGAAAAGCGTTAGTTACAGTCCAGATGTGGGAACTCTTTATCTTGAAAGAAGTTCCTAATTGTCTCAGACCAGTGTAAACAAACCAGCACCACCTTGCTAAACCTATAAGCTTTGAGAATCCAACATTCTGCCAAGAATATGCCTTGATAGTCACCCTCGGCCCCATAGGTTTTTGTCTTTTGGGTTTTTTGGTTTTTTTTTTTTTTTTTTTTTTTTTTTTTTTTTTTTTTTAAAAAATTTTTTTTTTTTTTTTTGGTTTTATTTTTTAGCAAAGATACATGTCTGGGGGTGAGGGGGGAACCCTTGCATTCCAAAGTTTCATTGGTTCCCAGTGTCATTGCCACCACCTCCTGTGTGTTTAGAACCATTTTGTCTGCTCTCTGGAAGCCTTGGGCAGAATTTAGTTTGTAATTGTTGGGTAATAACTGCTGAATTTTTAGCTGTTTTGAGTTGATTCGCAACACTGCACCACAACTCAATATGAAAAAAAAAAACTATTTAACTTATTTATTATCTTGTGAAAAGTATACATTGAAAATTGTGTTCATACTGTATTTATCGAGTATGATGAAAGCAATAGATATATATTCTTTTATTATGTTAAATTATGATTGCCATTATTAATCGGCAAAATGTGGAGTGTATGTTCTTTTCACAGTAATATATGCCTTTTGTAACTTCACTTGGTTATTTTATTGTAAATGAGTAAAAAAATCTTAATTTAAGAGATTGTATGTAATATTTATTTCATTAATTTTCTTTCCTTGTTTACGTAAATTTTGAAAGCTTGCATGATTTCTTTACAGAAATCTATCTTGATGCTGTGGAAGTAGTTTGAGGAACATCTTACACGTTTTCTTAGAATGTATAATGGTTGTAACCCATCCACCTTTAAAGAAAAAAGGAATGACCACATGTTTCGCAATCAGGCCGAAATGTGGCGTGCTTTTCTAATTCCAACCTTATAATATAGCAGAAACTGTACTTTTGTTTATTTAGTCCACCAGTTCTACTGTGACATACTCTTGAGTATAAAGACATGTAGCAATTATGGGGGGGTAGTCTGACAGTGCCTTCAGGAGGGCCTGAACTTGCCTTAAATCTTCCTCAACCAAATAAGTATTTTGTGTATTAGTGCTTGAGAGGATTTGAATGTAGGATGGGTTCAACTGCACAAAAGGAAAAGATTTTTACCACTTTTTTTTATATAGAGATATAAAGTGAAGAGGCCACCTCTTAGTGCTCAGATGGTATGTAGTACATGAATATGCCTTGTTTAATTACAGAAAATTCCAAAACTTGTACTATTTTCTTTCCGCATAGAAGAGCAGGAACGTTTGCCAAGCTTTCCTGACCGGCGGGTGAGCAGTAGCGTCAGTGTGTACGTAGGTACAGTTGGGAGCACTATATGTATGTACTCTTCTGGACTACTTTGACAGAAGTAGGTTTTTGAATGTAACAAGATAAGTCAACCTGAGTTGTAATATATTTTGGGGAATCAGTTCACTACAAATTGTGACTGTAAACATTGTACTGTAAATGTTTTGTAGTTTTCCCCCAATAAAATTTTTGGGAAAAAAAGGTATTACTGTGTAAAGATAGCTTTGTTTTTCTGTAGGAATGGCTAGCTGTCAGAATCCCAGTTCTTCCAACCCAGGGAAAGCCTGGCCTAACCCTTCCTGGGTTTAGGGGTTGTGGGGAGCAGGGGTGGTTAGAAAGGCAGCAGCCAGAGTTCAGAAGCACCTGGAGTTTTGAAGCACCTGTGTCCACTTGTACCTGTGTGTGTCCTGTAGCACGTCCTTTTAGCTGAAAGGAGTGTTAATTGTCTGGACTGTCAAGGGCATTAGTTAGCTATTCCCTTTGGTAATAAGATGCATCCCGGGG